GCGAATGCCTCCAGAAAGGAAGGCTAAGCAACTGTTCCTTGCAAATCCGACCGGCAAAAAACCCAGGGGACGGCCAAGATTAACCTGGTGCAAATATATAGAAGGAGTCTGTTCCAGACTCCAGTTGTCGACTGCCGAAGCTCAGACTCTGGCACAGGATCGGGAACGTTGTCTGACGTGTCTGCCTCCGCGACCCGAAAGGAGAAGCGGCGATGGAAGATGAAGATGATGTATTTAAACTGACTGGCCACAATATTAACCAACAAACGGTGTGAAATTATTAAAACAATCGGATCATTGTTGAAAAAAGTAAATATTTGCGTTTAGACGAAAATAGAGCAGGTTTCTTGGGCATATCTCCAAGCGTTTCTAAAGAACGACTACCGACGGTGGATTCTTGACGATTCTTTGCACCTCAGCTCAAGCCTAAAGATGGCCCGTTCATTTGGACCAGCGGTAATTTTACCGTTCATACCCTAGGAATCTCAGCGTATCACGAGGTACCTTAATAACATGGGGTTTAGCGTCTGTTACAGGACTGGCAGAACATTGGGCGAGATTAACATACATGTCCATTAACTTAGAAACGGTGTTAACAATGATATACAAAGTTCAGTGCAGTGATTGCGACAAGATGTAAATTGGAAAGACCAACCGGAAATTAAACATCCGAATAAAAGAGCAGGTAACTGCGGTCCGCCTTGGGCAGAATGACAATTCCGGTATTGCCATACATGCGATTACTGAAGGGCATTTTTTCAGTCAAAACAGTATGTCTGTTACAGATAAGAACCAGTCTAAACCGTTTGCTGATAAAGGAGTCCTTGCATATACTGTCAATGAAAAACCGTATGTAGCAATAAATACACATCTCTTTTTTAGCGTAAGCTAAGGGGGCGATTGCAAAACTGATACAGTAAATCTTGTTTAAATAACAGTGATCCGATTGTTTTAATAAGAATTTCACACTGTTGGTGACCGGGCAGTTTAATAACATTTTGATTGTAAAGCATTGTTCGTTGGTTGAACATAAGTGCTTTCAAGCAGTCATTTGCACTTAGCCTAGCGCTTATGATGCTACGGTATGCGAGCAAAACGCGTAGGTAATAATATGTTTTGTATTTGGTGCCCTGAATCATGAATCATTCAGATATCTACGGAAAAATTATATGGTGTTGGTTGGCGCAGTATGAGTCAATTAAAATCCTGGTATGTGAAAGAGCCCCTGCTGTACGATATCTCTATACGCTATAGAACAAAAGGGAAAAAACGAAAATGTACGTAGTCTTTTTAGGAACCTGACAAAGCTTGAGCACCATCAAATTCTGTATCCTTGGCACATTACGAAACCAGGCAAAGGTTTTACCTAGTTATTCAAAATTTGGGTACAGTTTTGATGATAGGCAGTTATAACCTATATTGTCTGCGTACTATCTACCACGCCAAATTTTACCCACCAAAATGTTTAGAATAGCCGATGCTACGCGACAGAACCCAATAGGATATACATTATACATGATCATTCAATCTTATTCAGCTTTAATATCTGCACCTGTGGTTAATATAGACAATGTTGCCAGCAAGAGCCATCCAATGGCCCATAAAAAATGTCACTGCTGCAAAAATCAGTATAATGCATTTCTTGGGGTAGGCTGATTACTTGCAAGCCTCGATGTATTTTCAAGGTTCTCTGGGAATGTTTAGCTCATCACCGATTTTCGGCTTCCTTTACTCTCGTCTTTAAGAACCATATCATTGCATTGTCTATTCGCTATTTCCCGCCTCAAAGAGGTAGAGCGTTCGTTGGTAACAGCGAACCATTGCACATCACGATTCATTGTTTCTAATCCAAACAATGTGCAATTGTCACTGACTTATTACTGTAGTCCAGTTAAAGGGGTTGAGATGAATAACCAGTCCGTGGGCAGGGCGAACAGTAGAGCGGTTACTGAGTGCAGTGGCGCTTAAGTTCTCGGTTGCCATCGAGAAACATTTCGCTTCCATACAGATGAATATATGAATCCCCACAACATTTGCAAATCGCTTTAATATTTTTTTATAGTAGATGTCTGACTTTTAAGGATCAGGAAAACTCAGATTTCAATATGCTAAACTCGCAGTCAAAGGACCTGAAGTTCGAGTGCGGCCGAGTCGCTTGCATTTTATCCATCCAGGTGCGTAAGGGCTGTAATTTCACTACATTTAACTACACGATGTGCAAGCCACATATATGTAGCCATTTTTTTCAAAAAATAAATCATTCCTATCTAGTGGTATTGAAACGGAGATTAGCGCGCACCGTACACTTCATGATAAATCAGTGCCGTGACGTAATCAGCGAAAATGAAATGAATGCAGAAGAAACGAACTTCCTTACGAAAGGAATTTCATTTATCCACAAATTCTGAATCTGTAGTCTTGTTGCAACGCTGTTTGTTTCTACATCAAGTAAAGCAGTTCGCTTAGTAGCTTCAGCATTAAGGATGAAATCCTTTCGTCTTATGTCAAGAAACTGCCGCTGCTGTTTAATGACATGACCAATAGTGTAATATTCATAGGAGCTCGTAATTAAAACGACAGAAAAAGCTAATATAGAATTGTAATTAGTTGATAAAGATGTTTTACGTTCCACAATTTGGTAGAACAGACTAAAACTTAAGCCGATCATTCACGATGACCAACACTCCAACGTCGTACACGTTGAATGTCTGCGCTGAATGACTGTAGCCTGGTCATTTATTTGATTGCTTCTTTATAGACTGAGTTCTAAGTAAATAAATTTAGTGAATAAGGCACTATACCATCATAAGTCTGGTGAAAGATAATTCTACGCCGATACTGCAGGTATCAAAATGTAGCGCCGTAGTCGGCTTGAATTACCCTACAACTACGGAAGTAGAGGGTAATGAAAAAACGTGCAACGGGCAGGCTATTCACGGTAACAATTTTCGATTTTACCTGAGGAAAATAGTATCGGCGAAATCAATTGTTAATTGCATAACTGTTACCTCGAAAGTAATTGGAAAAGATAAACTAACGAGCACGGCAGGATTCGAACCTGCAATCTTCGGTTCCATAGACCGACGCGTTATCCGTTGCGCCACGCACCCACAATGAAGGTCTTAATTCAACGATTTGAATAAAAAAGAACCGTCTAACGTCACAACGGTTTCGAGTACAGAAATTCGCAAGAGTTATGACGTAGAGCCGCTGCTTCTTCATATTGAGAACTCACGGCTACGATGGTTCGCTCACATGATGCGAAAGCCTCCAGGAAGGAAGTCTAAGCAACTTCTACTTGCTCAGCCGACTGGCAGAAGGCCCAGTGGATGGCCAAGATTAACCTGGTGCAAATATATGGGAAGAGTCTGCTCCTGATTCTAGCTATTCTCTGCCGAAGCTCAGACTCTGGTACAGGACCGAGAACGTTGGAATCGCTGTCTGACGCGTCTGCCTCTGCAAACCGAAGGAAGTGCAGTCTTGGAAGATGGAAAAAAATATTAAACACAAATGATCCTACCTTTAGACAGTAAATGGTATGTCTGTTGCATGCCATGATATCTCTCAAGGCATGAAACTCATTTTTCAAAATCGATCCGCCGTTTTACATGAGACGCGACAGAGTAACAGCGATAGTTCGAAGTACAAACGGCGAAAACAGAGTCCCTACTGCGAGTAGGAGCTCACCAATGTTCCGCACTGAGCCAATTTCGGTTCTCGATAGTGACAGACCCAATAACTGAGGGTCTGCAGGAAGCAACCTCACACTGCATGCTCTACGCGTGACATTGTGCTGTGCGGAAGTACGGAAGCAGTAGTCGTAAAAACTGAGGCATGGAAAACAAACCTCGAAAAGAACAGTCTTCGACTCAACAAAGGCAAGTCATAACATGGGGCGGACCGTTTCAGTGGGAAAAACAAATTGAAAGGTATCAAACCAATGAAAGTAACGGGGAACATGCTGTCTCAAACCAAAAAAAAATTCAACCGCCTTGGTTCCATGCTGAAAGATAATACAGAAATCAACAGCGAGATCGAAAAACTTGATTTAGTTGAAAGGGAGACGAACGGCGCGCTGTGCGACAAGAAGATAAACTTCAGACTGAGGGAAGATTCGCCATGCTTCCATAAGAGCGAAATGAAGAGACACGAGCAACAGCTGAACTCGGTAGAAATGCGAATGCTCAGATGGATGTGTGGTGTCAGCAGAAAGGACCACATCCGAAACAGCTTCATAAGAAACATTCTAGGAGTAGCACCAATCTCACGAAAGCTTATCGAAAGCACACCCCGTTGGTTCGGCCACGTTAAAAGAAAACCCATCGAGTACGTTGGAAATGTGGTCAAAGCACTGATACTTCCGGGAAAGAAAAACAGGTGAAGACCGAAGAAACGCTGGTGCAATGTCTCAAAAAAGCGATCTGAAACTGCAAGGAACTACTGATGATTTCACCAAAATCCCTAAAATGCGGAGACAGTTTACTCGATTAGCGAACCTCGAACTCCGCCGTTGCCGGTCCCAAGCCCGGTTGCGAAAGGAGTGGGGTTGGAGACCGTGGCAACCTCTCCGCAAAATTTACCCACCTGCCACTCATGGCATTGACGATACAGAAAATTATACCGATCGGTCGTGGCCCGGGTGACTAAGGGCCGCGTAGGCTGTTGGCCACAGAGGCAGACTACGAAAAGTCGGCCA